GGAGTAAAAGTAAATTCACCATGAAGAACTGACTTTGTACACAAGATTCCTCAGCTACCTGGAGAAAAGATTTTGTTTTGTAAAGTCTTCATGGTATTTCATGTTCTATATGTTTGAAGCCAGGCTAATGGTAAGATGTCCCTATGGTGACATACTTAAAATCTGGTGACTGTCGCTGCAGGGACAAGAGCAATCTCTTCTTTTGAGTAAGAATTTGATGCTGTGGGCAAGATATTCAGTCTCTTCTCTGAAGGGAACATCATCTTATGTTAAGTAAAACGAAAAAATGAAAACGAAAACAGATCCTTTTTCAGTTTCTTTCTTTTTTTCTTTTTTTTGGAGAGATTTTCACTGTAGGGCGCGTGCGCTCGCCAGACAGACAGAGAGAGATATAGAGACAGAAAGCGAGAAATCACCCCCCAGGGGGGATGGTCACGCCGCAATCCCTTCTCCTCCATTCTCCTCTCGGGATCTTGGGCACGCACGCACACGCGCCCGGCGTGAGTTTTAAGCCACCGGGTCCGGGACACGAACCGCGGTCGACTACGTGGGAATCCAGCGACATAGCCATTACGCTAACTGCTGGTTCCCCTTTTTCAGTTTCTAAAAATAAAATGGTTAGTTCATTTCAGGGTTACATACCAGTGTAAGAAGAATTTTTAGTGTCATAATCTCTTAATTTATGAATGGTAGCACATTAAATTTTGTACCAGTAAAAAGTGAACTTTAAAAATCCATTTGTTTGAGCCAGCAGGTGGTATAGTGGTTAAGGTGTTAAGACTCCCACATGGCCAACCACGATTCAAGTGCTGGACCTGGCAGCCTGAAAATCATGCCAGAAACATGTGCATGCATGCCCAAAATCCCAGGGAAAGAATGGAAGAGAAGGGATTGCAATGACATGGCCATGCCCCCTGGGGTGAGAGGGTAATTTCTCCTGTTCTTTCTGTGTCTCTCCACAAGCACATACACCTTATGGCAAAAATCTTTAAAAAAATCCTTTTATTTAAAACAAAACAAGCATTATAAATTATAAAATTAGCATAATTTGGGTCTAGAGTTTAATGCCCAATTAGATCTCAAGTATATCATTTACAGACTGTGATCTTGTGCAAATTACTTAAAATCCCTGGGCTTCACGTTCTTCACCTGTAAAATAATGTGTATTTAATGGGACTGTCACGAGGATGAAGTGAGATAATGCCTATAAAACGCCCAGCACAGGGCAGGGAAGAGTAAGAGGCCAATAAACAAAAGCTATTGACATCTCATAGTTTACTATAAAATATAAAATGCAGCCTGCATTTTTGAAATTAACATAGGTTCTGCATGTATGTGTATACATATACATACATGTATATATACATATAGTTTTAGTGTGAATATCTTTCTTATTTTTATTTTAGTTATTTACTTTTTACTTTTTAAGTTAAATTATATTTATTATTTTGATTTTTTTTTTTTTTTTGCTATAGGGCATGTGTGTCCTCTGGGGGTGGGGAGAGAGAGAGAAATCGAGAAATCACCCCCAGAGGGGTTATTATTTTTTAATCTGACTAAAGAGAGACACGGAGAAAGAGAGGGAAAGTGAGAAAGCAAGCTACCAGGTTCGGAACTCGAACCGTGCCCAGCCATGTGGGAGTTCAGTACCTCAACCACCACGCCACCTGCTGGCCTCTAGGGATTTCCGACAGGCTTTCACTGTGTCATGGTCTTCTTGCCTCAGCCTCCTAAGTAACAAGAACCCCAGGTTTGTGCTACCATGTCCAGTTCTTTTGTGGGTAGGACTTAGTTAGATTGCCTAGGCTAGCCTTGGGCTCGAGATTCTCCATCTTCAGCCCCAAAGTAGCTGAAGTACAACACATGCCACTCCGTCTGGCTCTTAGAGTAGGCTGGGAATTGAACCTGGCATTCTGTGTGGTCCCAGCCTCCAGAGCACAGTGTCTTAGCAGCATGTACCACTGCAGCTGGCCCAAAACATTTTTCTATAGTGTATTTTATTGATACCATGTAGCAACCTTATCTTTCTTGAAGTCAGGAACTGGGTCCTTAGCAGGTGCCTCAGACACAATCCCTCCTGTAGAGCGTCAGCTGCCTTTCTAGTTGCATCGACGATGCTCCTGGGGCAGTGACACAGTTCTTGTTATCTGCCTATGGTTAGGGAATGACTAGCAGTCTGCATAAGTGATATCTTTCTGCTGATTCCAGGTTTTCCTTTCGGTTGTGAATGACAAAGAAATGGCAGTTAGTAAGGAACACTGGTCCTGTCGAGTGAGTTCCAAAGGGTCTTAGTCATTTATTTTGACTGCTTTGCTTGCTGTCATTTGTTAAAGATTTCTGAGGTTTTGCAGTTTGAAGACAGTGGAAGTCAGAAACTGAGAAGGGTATAGAACCTTGGTAAAGTTCTTTTGCATATTAAGAGTGTTGTTCAATGGCAATTCTAGTACATAAGCACTGAAGTACTATCAGCAACAATACTAATAGCTGCTAACATTGGCTGAGAGCTTACCATGTATTAATAGCAGGCACTGTTATAAGCACTTTATACATATAAACTCATTTAATCCTCTCTATGCTATTATTGTTTTCATTTTACAGTAGTGAAAACAGGCTCAGATGATTAAGAAACTTGTCCACACAGAGCTTCAAAATTACATCAGTCTATATATATATTATATATATATAATA